ACGAAAGTCAAGTTGGACAATAAAACGGCCGACAATGCAGAAGTTAAAAAAGAAAATCATATTGGAAAATCAACTATTCTGGAAAAGAAAACAATTAGAATTGCATGTAGAATTATTATGATGCAATGCATACTATTTTAGCTTAGGCACAAACATAAGAACTAGTTTTTTAGCATGTCTTATAATTCTAAACTGGTCATTTTGAAAATCATTTTCATCGTCATAGATTAATCATTTTTAACTTTCCAAGGCTAGTCTCATTACACAACTATTTTTTATACTTACGCCTTACTATTCTAATAGTTAAGTGGTGTGCCTTGTTATGCACTGAGTTTTGGCATACAGTATTTTGTGCTATTGATTAGTATGATTTTAGGCACGTGCATAAAAACCGTGAATACTTGAATAAATTTTTAGTCAGATATGCTATTCCTTCTATGCCGGGATGAATTATTGGTCTAGTGAAAGATTTGACTAGTTCTAGGAGAGGTTTTCTACATGTTCAAATGGTAGGCTTGGTTTTTGCTAAGTTCTTTTCCTTTTTTGCTTTCATCTATATTTTGTTATTTGTTCGATTAAGTGATTGAATTTAATCAAGTTTCGGTAAAATTTGTTTTAATAAGTCACAAATTTTAAAGCATTTACGTATCTTTTTTTGTTGTGAAGTTTAGTTCATTCTCCTACTTGGAGGTCTTTTGACTTGGATTTGATTTCTTTATAATTCTTGTTTTTCAGCAATTGTGATGAATAATTGTTAAGGATTAAGAGCTTGTTACATGTAAAATTTTAATGTTTTTTGCATAATTTTCTCTAACTCATATCGGTTTTGTATTAGAAATTCTTAACTCAAATAACTTATTTCTTAAAAGGTTCTCCGTCTTGTTCTCATATTTATTTATTCAGTTATGCTGCTTGTTACTGACGTGTGCTCTTACTGTTAAATAGATTCTTGTCTGGTTTCTTGCTTGCCGCTGTTCCATGGTATGTTGGGGCTTTAATTTTTGTTATTGGAGCCCTGGACAAACGCGAGAAACCTGGATTGGTTGCATGCACAGTTGCTGTAAGTATCTAATTGTTTTTCCTGGAAGAATTGACTTCTTTTATCAGTAAGATCATACGTAAAGCAATTTAATGATTATTTTCAGTCTTGATGTTTTAGATAATGCTTAAATAAATTTTATTATTAGATCTATTCTATTTTTTTCAGAGTTTTTCTGAGTTTTTTATTTCATCATCTTGGCTTAGGTCACCATGCTCTTCGAACATTCATTTACAGTCTATGTTAGCTGATTGTACAATTCTGTTGAGTTGTTTTTGAAGCTTCATTCCCGGCATTTAGAAAATTCATGTTTAGTAGAATTGTAGGCGTCAATTTTAAACAACAAAATTGATGAAGTGAATTAGTTTGTTATTCATGATTTAAACTGCTACAAAATTTATTTTTTAAGTTTTCATGTTTTCAATACTGCTTAAATAAATTATATCATTAAATCTTTTCTATTTTTTTTCTGAGTTGTTTATTTCATCATCTTGCCTTAGGTCACCATGCTCTTCGAACATTCATTCCCAGACTATGTTAGCTGATTGTACAATACCATTGAGTTGCTTTTGAAGCTTCATTCACAGCATTTAGAAAACATATGTTTAATAGATTTGGCCTAGGTTACCATGCTCTTAGAACATTAATTTCCAGGCTATGTTAGCTGATTGTACAATGCCATCGAGTTGTTTTTGAAGCTTCATACGCAGCATTTACAAAACACATGTTTAGTAGAATTGTAGGCAATCTTAACTAACAAAATTGATGAAGTGAATTTGTTGTTTGTTATTCATGACTTAAACTGCTACAAAATCTATATTTTTAGTTCACGTTTTTATATAGACTGAAAGTTTATTTGAAGCCACTCTTTTATTGCTTTGTTTTTCAAAAAATTATAACGGGAAGCTGATTTTTACAACTCGAGTTGCTGAAGTATGGTAGATTTAAGATATATGCTGCCCGTTTTTCAGGAAAAAAATATTGGTAGTACCTGTAACAGGAAAAAAGTTATTTCTTTTTTCACATTATTTCTGCATTTACTTTTACTGTTGTTGTTACCCCAAACAAATACCAAGAGGATTGGGATCACTTTTATTTTCATTTCTTAGTTTATTTTTTTTGTAAATGTTCTAATTTGCAAAAAAATATGTTGAACATTCACATGCATTTATTATATTTAAAACAAATAAAAAGATGTATTTTATTTTATCATTTCATTCTATATTTCTCAATAATACTATGTTTCTTTAGATATTTAAAATAGGTACTCGCTCGCTAGAATATCCAAGCAAACATAAACAATTTTTCTTAGCAAACATAAACTGTAAACAAAATTCAGCCCATCATCATTCGCTCATGCTTCATCCACCCATCCCCAACAAAACCAAATTCTTCCATTTCCTCTAAATTTTTTGTTTTTTTATTATTTTTCTTATAGTATTTGCTGCTACCATTGCTAAACCTTGTGCGCTAACTTTGCCAAATCATCGATCTTCAATGACTCCCTCTGTGTCCTTCCTTCTTTTAACACCAAATTCCTTGACATCATCTCTAGTGGACTCAAGTGCCCTTTCAACAAACTTATCGGAGGTAACCTTAACTTGACCTTCGACCATTACATTATCATGTTATCATGTTTAACAACCTTATCTTTAGGGAGAATTAGGGCGTATTTGAGCCGAGTATGTCACAAAATGGACTTGGTTGGTAATATTAACTGTTCATGCTTGGAGAGCTTGAGCCAAGCTTTCACTTGTATGTTCCAGGTTGGCTTTTTTAGATTTTTTTTTTAATATTTGAATTTGATTTGTTTATGCCAATTGAACGGATATCTAAACGAGTTAATAAACAAACAAAACGTTCGAATAAGCATATGAATTTCTATATAAAATTATCAATAAATAATTTTACAAATCTAATAAATAAAAAGTGATTGAATACATTTTGTATTGGTATCTAATTATTTTATACAAATACATTAAGAAAATATGTTAATAATGAATGCATTAATTTTAAATCACGTATATCATTTGTAACTTGGGTAGAGGCAAAAGAAGATTTTAGGAAGCTGTGAACCAGAAAAATAAATGTGAATAAAACTATGGAAAGAGAAATGACAGGCTGTGAGCCTGATGCCATTGAGTGTTAAGCGAATTATGATCCATAAATGAGGAAAAAGAATAAAGATAAATAGTGTTATAGAATTAATTTTAATTACATGATTAATAAATATATATTATATATTTATATAATCATTAGCTAATTAAAATTAGAAAGTGTGATGGATTGAATATGCTGAATAATGATGCATTAATTATAGATTGGGCTAATTAATAAGTAGATATTAATAAAATAAAGACATAATTAATAATTAATACTAAAATATTATTGATATACAATAACACAACAACAACAAGCCTTTATCCCACTAAGTGGGGTCGACTACATGAATCCTTTTTCTCTATTGTGTCGTATTGAGTGTCAAATTTTCATTTAATACTAATAGATTAAAATCATCTTTTATGTAATATGCCGAAGTCTTTTTAGGCCAACCTCTGTCTTTCTTTACACAGATCAAATCTAAAATATCTACTCTCCTAACTGGACCATCAGATGCTCGACGTTTAATGTGACCAAACCATCTAAGTTGACCGGCTCTCTCTAATCTTGTCTGCCACTGGTGCTACACGAACCTTTTCACAGATAGATTCGTTTTGTATTTTTTCTCTAAGTGCCAGGCCACTCATTCACCTAAGAATTCTCGTCTCAGCAACACTTAACTTTATTTTATGCTTCACATTTAAAGGCAACATTTTGTGCCATAAAACATTGCAGGTCTCGCCACTATCTTATAAAATTTTCCTCTAAGTCTAAGTGGTACTTTTCTATCTCACATCGACCAACCAACTTGAATTCTACTCATAACATCCCCATCTATATCGCCATTACTTTGAACAATAGACACAAGATATAACAAACGTTGAAATATTTTAATAATTTGATCAACCATAGTTACAACTCTGTCACTGGAGCTACTAATACTAAACCTATATTCCATGTATTAAATTTTAGATCTACTCAAATAAATGCCTTTAGACTCCAATATAAACCTCCATAATTCAAGTTTTTCATGAACTCTTTCTCTAGTCTTATCCACAAGAAGGATATCTTTAGCGAAAAGCATATGCCAAGGTACATCCTCATGTAAATGTCCAATAAGAGCATCCATTACTAAAGCAAAACGATATGGGCTTAAAGTCGATCCCTGATGTAATCCAACTGAAATAGGAAAATATTTGATCAATCCCCCTTCTATTTAAACATAAGTAACAACTCTAGTATGCATATCTTTAATGACTTGAATATAAATCATATCAATACCTTTCTTCTTAAGAACTCTCTGAAGGACTTCTCTTGGAACCTTATCGTAAGTTTTTTCTAAATCAATAAAAGTCATATGTAGATCATTCTTACTCTCTCTATTTTTCCATCAAACCTCTCAATAAATGTATAGCTTCTATAATAGACTTGCCCTGCATAAATCCAAACTGATTATGCAAAATCTTTGTATCACGTCTTAACCTATGTTCAATTATCCTCTCTCATAATTTTAAAGTATGACACATTAACATTATTTCTCTATAGTTTGTACGCTCTTATGCATCCTTTTATTTTTAAATATGGGGACTTAAAAATCATTCATCTACTCCATGTACATCTTTTTAGTTTTTAAAATAACATTAAAGAGTTTAGTGAGTAAAAAAACTCTCAAAGCTCTTATATATTCTCACACTTCAGTAGGGATATCATCAGGTCTTACAGATTTTTCACTTTTGTTTTCTTTAAATTCTCACAAACTTTCTTTTTTATTAATGCGACGATAAAAATAAAATGTTTTATTGCTATTAATGTTATTAAGATCATTAAGATCGATTGTATTTTCAGAAATTTCATTGAAAAGTTTATTAAAATAACTCACCGACCTATGTTGAATATATAATAAGAAAAATATTTTTTGATTGTTATCTTTAATACACTTGAATTAAATCCTTACTTTTTTTTAGTATCTAATCTAGTTTATGTAAAAAGTGGAGGGTTGCGTTAGGTAGTTGACAACCAACATAAAACTTGTCGAAAAAATGATGACATTAATCATTTTGATCATTGTGTAAGTGCTAGGGTATCCCCTGGAAGCGACGTGCTGTATAGGTGTGCAGGGGCTGCTAACACCGACGCCCGAGTGTAGCGTCAAATAAGCAAGGGTTCCCACATTACAAACGGATGCGGGTAAATAAGTTAATCCATGAAATTAATGAAACTAATATTATGATCGGATCATGGAATATATGTACATAGGTACTCTCACATGTAAATTAATATAATTAGTAGATATTATAGTTCATATGAGGATAAACACCTTATTTATTCAAGAAATTAAATGGGTTGGAGAAAATGTTAAGAAGATTGATCTTAGGTTTTAAACTTTGTTATTCTGGTAAGAGTCGCACTGTAAATGTTGTAGATGTAATTATAGATAAGAGTTTGAAAGATAATGTTGTAAAAATTAATAGAATTTGAGATGGAATTATAACCCTTAAGATTATTATTGATACTAAGATTTTTAATATTATAAGTGCTTATGCTTCTCAAGTAGGTGTAGATTTAGGGTCCAAGGATAAATTCTGGAATGACTTAGAAGATTTAATACAAATTATACTTCTTGAAGTAAAAATTTTTATTGGAAGAGATTTAAATGGACATAAATAGACATGTTGGTAGAGTGGTAGAAGATTTCAGAAATATTCATGATGACTATGATTTTGAAGTAACTAAGGAAAAAGGTAGAGCTATTTTAGGTTTTGCTTTAGCGTATGATTTTTTTCTTACAAATTCCTTATTCAAGTAAAGAGATGAGCATTAGCTGAGCATCTAACTACTTATAAGAATGAATCTAATAAAATATAAATTGATTATTTTCTCATGAGAAGAAGACATTGTTGAGATTGTAAAGATTGTAAGGT